TATATATATATATATATATATATATATATATATAATACCATATTATCAAGGGTTTAGGGTTTAGGGTTTAGGGTTTAGGGTTTAGGGTTTAGGGTTTATGTAGGGTTTATGGTGTGGGGATATACAGTCAATAAGAGTAACTTTGTTGTTGGTGTTGGTGTTGTTGTTGTTGAGTGATCAGCATTCACAAATCTAGGGTTTAGGGTTTTTAGGGTTTAGGGTTTTTAGGGTTTAGGGTTTAGGGTTTAGGGTTTAGGGTTTTTTTTTTTATGCAGACGCAATGGGTTCAATTATGTGAATATTATAATGATGCTGTAAATACAAACATTGATCCTTCTGTAGGAATTTCTCTACAAGATTTAGCTAAAATTTATAGTCTACAATCAGGTAATTTCTTATCCAGCCCCAATTGTCTGTATGCATGCATATGCATGCATATGCATGTACACAATTGCATGCATGCATGGATGCATGCAGCACCTCCGTAAATACCTCATAGCAACAACAGCAGCAGCAGCAGCAACAACAACAACACACAACCACAACCACCACCACTACCACCATAAACACCACGCGCATGCATATACAATATAAATACATATATATAGTAATATATATATTCAAAAACTTTGTTTTTTTGTGTATATTATATAAATAATAATATATATAGGTGATTTAGATAGAGATTATGAGTTATTATATCCAACATTACGTCAAGGAGAAGGAGAAGAAATAGATATTGAGGAATTAGATCGTTTATCTGATGAAAGTTTAGAGATATCTGCTAATGAGCAATCAGATCTTGAGGAAAGTACAGAGGATGATGATGATGATCTACCTAATGTTAGTAGTTAATCCTTATTCTTCTTGTTGCTGCTGTTGCTGCTGCTGTTGTGTTGTTGCTGTTGTTGTTGTTGCTGCTGCTGTTGTTGCGGTGCTGGCGATGGTGGTTGTTGCTGCTGAGAAGAGACAGAAGAAAAGGAGTTATATACCATCATAAGGAGACAAAAAGGAGACAGTAAATCAGGATAAAAAGGAGACAAACTTATATAAATATATGTATATATATATTCGTATTGTATGCCTCTTTCTCTATCTCCCTGTCTCCTTTTGTCTCCTTCTGTCTCCTTTTGTCTCTTTCTTAGGAAGCAGATGACGAAGGAGACGATCAGAAGGCATTAGCAAATACAGAAGAAGATAGGATTGAGTACGAATTAAAAACAAAATTAAATGCAAGAAAATTACAATTTATTTATAATTATGTTACCCAAGAACACAGAGGACCGTAAGTTCCTGCTGCTCCTCCTCCTCCTCCTGCTGCTGCTGTTGTTGTTGTTGTTGTTGCTGCTGCTGCAGTAGCAGCAACAGTAGCATGTGGCGTTACAGCGACGGCTGCAGCAATAGTTACATCAGCAGCAGCGCTTGTATATATCATTACGGCACGAGTTACAGCAGCAGCAACAGCAGCAGCAACAGCAAATACAGCAGAAGCAGCAGCAGGAGCAGGAGCAGGAGCAGGAGCAGCATATATGTGTGTGTTTATTGCAGAGCTGTAGATGAATTGATATCATCTGTCCCTTTTTTAGCAGCAAAGACATTGGAGACACATTTGTTATTATTGTCTCCTGTCTTTGGTAAGGAAGCACCATTAGGTCTTACCTCCTCTAGTCTCCGTTTATCTAGAGGTACTTCCTCTATTGCTGCATCCTCTTCTTCTTCTCCTACTTCCTTTACAGGAGAGGAGACAGATAAGACAAAAAAAGTAAGCATATATATATGTATATATATATATATATATATATT